TCCCCCCCCCGCCTGCGCTGTCTCAGTTTTCCTAATAATATCCCCAAACTCCCCGCGGCGGCTGCGTCCTGTCTGGCGATACCAGCTCCACCATGTGGTTCCTCAAAAGCTGCTGCTTTTATTTTTGTTGTTGTTCTTCTTGTGGCTTTTCTGGCTGAACTTCATGCCAAAAAAAAATACACATGGGGCACCTCAGGAGTTTGGGGGGGTTGAGGGGCAGTTAAATATGTGGGAGCACCTCGTCCTCTGACAGCCTTACATCGATTCTTGTGCTTTTTCTAACGAAAAACTGTAAAAGGAAGGATTTGGCAGAGCTGGGAGCTCCTTTTCAGGCTCTGCACCAGGATGCAGCTGGGAATAATCCCAGATCCTGGCGCCCATTCCCAGGAATAATCCCCCCCCCAAAATCCCGGTGGGAAAGGCTGTGCCCCAGACGGGGTGGATGGGGGTGACCTGCCAAGGGCTCAGTTGTGCGGGAGCCCGGTTCCTCGCCCGGCTCTCGAGGAACAGTGTCCCTTTGTCTGTGCCAGCCACCGCCACGGGAATGTCCCCTCCCATTGTCACCTCCTGCCGCTGCCGGGGGTCACCGCGCAGGGACCCTTTTCAGCAGCCCTGGAAGCTGCAACAGGAAACCTGGAGGTGATGGTTGAGAAGGTTTGGGTTGTGGTTTTTTCTTTTCCCCCCAAAATCTCTCATTTTCTCTCAATCCAAGTTGACGTGTGAGGGAAACAACCTGGTGTCCGTCAAAACCAGTGGGGTTTCTGGCACTGGGATGTTGGGTGATGCTGGTGGTCACCGTGGGTCAGTGCTGAGGTTGCCCACCTGGGTCCGTGTTGCGGAGATGTGGGTGCTCCAACACCCAGCCACCACGTGGTGACCTGGGGGACAAAGACCTCTCTCTGTCCAGAGAAGCTGTGGTTGCCCCATCCTTGAAGGTAAAAAGCGTTCCTGAAGCACGTTTGATGCCCTCTTTGCAAAATCTTGAGTATTAAACTGGTTTAAGCTGGGAAGGGAGGTGGGGAAGGAGGTGCTGTCGCTCACAGCTGACACCCCTGAGGGTTTTATTTGTCGCTCTTTGCCAGTTCTGTGAACGTTGGCCAACACCAAAGGTGTTTGAACACAACCAGTGGGTGCTGGATGCTTGGTCCTGGATGCTCAGTCCTTGAGGTGGGATGTTCAGTCTTTGGGATGTGATGCTTGGTTCTTGGGACATGATGTGTAGTCCTTAGTCCTGGATGCTTGGTCCTTGGAATGCGACGTTCAGTCTTTGGGACATGATGCTTGGGCCGTGGGATGTGATACTTGGTCCTCAATTCTGGATGCTCGATCCTCGGGATGCAACGTTCAGTCTTTGGGACACAACGCTTGGTTCTCGAGACGCAAAGCTTGGTGCTTGGGACATGGTGCCCAATCCTGGATGCTCGGTCCTTGGGATGCGATGCTCAGTCTTTGGGACATGATGTTTAGTCCTCGGGACGCGATGCTTGGTCCTCAATTCTGGATGCTTGGTCCTCAGAATGCAATGCTTGGTCATCACGGGTCCCCCCTGATCAGATAATGGGGAGGATCCCCTGGAGGTGAGGGTTGGGAACAAGCAAGTGGCTGGTTGGCCATGGCCAGTGGCCCAGACGTTGGAAGGAAGGTGTCCCCTTGGTGGCAGGGCAAGGAGATGGTGGGAATGTTCCTGTGTGAGGTGACACAGGCCAGAGCCACCCAACCCCACCACAGAGGAGGAGCTGGTGCTCCAGGACACTGGCACGGGCTGTCCCAAGGGCTGGTGGAGTCTCCATCTATGAAGATCTCCAAGACCCAACGAGATGTGGACTTGGGCAACCTGTTCCAGGTGACCAATGGGTTGGTCCAGGTGGGTCTCCAGGGAGCCAGTCCCAGGAGCTTCCTGCACCCAGGATTTTCTGCCTGGGCTTAACCAGCGCCCACCCCTTGAGCAGGAGCACCTTGGACCATGGCTGGTACGTACCACCCCCACCGGGAGCTGGGAGAGGGCTGTGGGTGCAGGGTGGGTGCAGGGTGGGTGCAGGGTGGGTGCTGCGACCCCTCCCCAGGCTCCACCACCCACCTCCACGTGGCATCCCCAGCACCATTCCCATCCCCAGCACCATTCCCATCCCAACGAGATGTGGACTTGGGCAACCTGTTCCAGGTGACCAATGGGTTGGTCCAGGTGGGTCTCCAAGGTGCCAGTCCCAGGAGCTTCCTGCACCCAGGATTTTCTGCCTGGGCTTAACCAGCGCCCACCCCTTGAGCAGGAGCACCTTGGGCCATGGCTGGTACGTACCACCCCCACCGGGAGCTGGGAGAGGGCTGTGCCCCCCCGGTGCAGGATGCAGGAGCAGCCATGGCCGGCACCTCCCATGGCGGTGACCTTGGAGACCCTCAGCCAGATGGGGGCTCCCACCGACCCCGGGGGGGTGAGTTGGCCACAGGGCAAGTGGTGACGACAGGCTGAGACCCCCCCTCAATTCCCCCCACGGGTGCAGGTCAGGGTG